AATTGTTTAAATGCAGCCACAGGCAGCAACAATTCTAAGATACATACTCCCAGAACATGAAGAGATTGGACAAGCAATACAGCAAATTAAGGATGAGGCACAGCAGTAAATCCCATGGGTAGCCACCAGGTGGTACTATGGACTAATGTTTATAATCTGCCATGTACTATGCGTGATTTTTTTATACCAGATATAACACATAAGGACATATTTTACAACCACCAACCCAGTAACCAAGACAATTGTTTTCAATGTCACATAAAATTGTTAATGGCATGAGATGACCTCAACGATAGCTACACATCCAAGGAGCACTGCTCTGTCTGCTGTCCCATAAACAATAAGGACACTCTGCAGCGCTGTTTATAGCTACAACATCCTGAATAGTCTTTTCCCAGCAGGGGCAGCTGCCACGGGTGAGCGGGCGTGCCCACCTGTTCACCGGATTCTTGATGCCCTGTCCGTCCGAGCCCAGGCCCTCTCCCTCTTTCCAGCCCATCTTCATCAGCATCTGGAATCCGATGTTCTCCACCGTCAGCTTGAACTCCTTGTACTCCGAGTAGTCCGGGTTGCGGCCTTCCTGTATCGGAGAAAATGAACAAAACCGGAATATTACCCAGACTGGAATAAAAATAAGCCAAGCGGGGGACCGCGGCTGGTCAGCGCTCTGGCGGGACCCGCGACAGTCGGCCTCCGGGCCTCCCCTGGCCTCTCACCTTCAGGGCCTTGAAGGTCTCCATGAACTTCTCCAGCTCTTCGGGCGGCAGGAAGTCCCCGATGAAGTGCTTCCCTTTGCCCATCTCGGTCAGCTGCTCTGCCCACTCTGCGGAGAGACGAGCCCAGATCAGCCACCCACACGCGGCCAAGACCGAACTCCGCTTCAACCCCCCCCCACCGCCAGGCTGCAGTGGTGCAACGGCATCGCCGTGTCCCAGCTGCCGTGTAATTCCTTCTCTTTCAATGAGTGTCCTGCGCATCACGGGCTGAAGGAACTCAGCCTCTTCGGTCTTGAACGGGGAAGACTACGAAGAGACCTCAATTCAAGGATCCAAGACCCTCAAAGCGGACCCTTTCGGAACCAACTGTGAAACACGAACCAAGTGGAGACTCTGCATTTAAAACCGAGAACACTATACACAGAGGGTTGCGGGAGTGTGGACCGATCTGCCCCGCCATGTCGCCGAAGCCATCCAAGAACCAGCTGGATGACAAGCCGGGATCCACGAACCACCAAAAGGGCCCTCGTGAGCTTTCTCTCGCTCCTATTCCATTTCGATAGAAGAAACGAAACCAGCGCCCAGACACGTGCAACGTCGGTAAAACGGCCTAATTAGCTTTGACGACGGTGTTGGAAAGCAAAGGGCACCGGGAGACACAGTCTCGGCCCAGAGGACACCCGGCCCGGCTCACCGCGGGTCTTCTCCATTTCCATCTGCCGCAGCCGGTGCTCCCAGGTGCCCTGCTTGGTATCGATCTCCTCGTCGCTGTCGTACTCGTGCTGGTGCTCCTGCAGGGCCTTCTCCCACATCAGCTGCATCTCCTGCATCGCCCGCTTGTGCTTCATGATCATGTCGTACATCTCCTGCATCTGGAAGAGGCGGGAGCATGTCATCATCCCCCACCTGCCCCCACCCGCTGGGCTGCCCCGGGTTTCCCAAGGGCTCGCCGGTGGCAGGGGAGGCCTGGTGACCACCCGGAAGGCCGCGGCCTCAGGAGACCCTTGCTGGCCAGTGTCCACCCCACCCCGCCGGTGCTGTGCCAGTTGGGCACCGCTTGGGAGGGGCCCAATCACAGCCTGCCAGCGCCATCATCATCCTACCCGCAACCTTCGCTTGTCCAATTCTAGTCTCCTGTCTGTTCCAGACACTCTGCTGGTGAAGGGCTCGTCTCCTGCTGCACCCCAAAGCTCTATTTCTTCCAATTCTATTACTAAAGTTATCAGAGGGTCACCTTCCCTGAGCGCTTTCAAATCAAGCTTGATTCAACTGGTTCTGTATCTGCCCCTTTGCTTTCCTAGTGAATTCCAAACCCTTAGTGTAACTGTGTAATTCTGCTGTCTTCTCTCATCGTGTGCATTTTTTTTCTTACTGCAATGCAGTGGCTTTGAGAAGCCACTTTCAAAGGCAGCATCTAAAATAAAGCACCACTCAGGCTCAAACCAGGAACCCGTGCTCCACCATTTTCAGCCTGCAATCTCACAGTTACTGCAGCCGAGCTCTCCTGCAGCCCCCCCAAAATTCGGAATGATAACAGCAAATTCATAATGCAGTTCTCAGCATTGCAAGGAACATCACAGCTGACTCTACCCATACTCTCCATTCTCAATTCATAATACTGGGAGATGGGACCAAATTCAAAGAAAAACATTTCTAAGAAGTCCTTTGTCCCCTCTGCAATAAAACTACTCAATGAAGGTGTGTAAATGTAGTCCCCCCCCCATCTACCTATTTATTTATCCAACTATTTATGCATTACATACTGTTCTGGTGATTCCATGTGATTTTATGCGACTCTGATGTTCTGCTTGTATGTCTTGTGCCAAAGACAAATTTCCACAGCGGTGCACAATAATCTATGTATCCTGACACTTCCGAACAAACATCCTCTCTGCCGGGCGGAGAGGGTTTCTGAGATATGGAGTCAAAATCAGGGTTGTGGTATGTCAAGAAGCCAGCCAGGGCTCTGCAGTGCGGACGTGACCTCTCACCTCCTGCTGCTCTTTCAGCTGCCTCTTCTGGTCCTCGGACAGCTCGGTCACTCCCACCAAGCCCACGGGCTTCCCCTTCTTGTACCCCAGGCCTCTCAGCTCCTGGGCTGCAACGGCACCACACAGACAGAG